CTTATTTCTTGTAAACAAATTTGTAAATTTTAAGAAACCCCTTGTGGAATCTTACACAAATTTTAATAAAGATAAAGACAAAATCTCACCTTAATTTCAAAAAAAAAAAAAAAAAAAAAATTTATTATCTAATTCATATTGTTTAGAAATAGAGATAGATTTTAGAAATTATAGTCACTTTCTTGAACAAACTAGTAAGTTTAATAATCACACAATCTATAATATATATATATATATCGATATAGCATTTTAGCATCATCATTATAAAAGAATCATACTTTTATATATATAGTTTTAAACCTACATGGATCATACTCACTAATACTAATATTATATCCTAATTAATTATTAATTAGCTAACTAAATAAAGAAAATTTAAAATAATACTAATTATAAAATAAAATAATATATTGCAAAAAAATATTCTAGTGCTACTAAGTTATTTCATCAAAAATTCATTTAACTGATATTATATAGAGTTAATATTAGTATTTAATTAGTTGCAAATATATATTTTTAATAAATTGTTACTTGATATAATATCAGTTAAATAGACTATTGGTAAACTAATTATTAGTAAAGTAAGACGGGTCTAAAAAATTTATCTAAATTTCTTACTTCGTACAAAAAAAATCAAACAAGAAATAATCTATTTAATGTAAACTATAAGTAAATAGGTTAATTGTCTAAATCTTGTATCGATTATTATATAATTATTTTAATTTAAACCTGTTAAAAATTGGGTTTATGAAGATTTTACTTCAGCTTAAAAAACAAAAATTTAGAAAATATTCTTATATAAATATATGCACTTTTTTATTATTTATATAATATTTTTTTTATAACACTTTTATTTGATTATAAGTTTCTGAAATTTGCTATTATATACTATTATCTTATCTGTGTTCTATTTAAATCCTTTATATTTGTAATGAAAAAATTCTCATACAAATATATACACTCTTCGATTACTTCCATAGATCTTCTTTTAGAATACTTTTATTCAATTAACAGATTTCTAAAATATACTATTATTTTAGCTCAAATTTTTTACATTTGTAAAAAAAAAAAACATAGAATTGCAAATAATTGATTAATAAATAATATTAATTTTTTAGTACTTATAATAATATATATATATCTTATTCTCATACACTTAAAAAAAAAATTAAAAAAATGCTAGCTTCTATTATGGTTTTATGAATTATAATAATTAATAAATAATATCAATTTTTAGTGCTTTTGATAATATGTATATATATCTTATTTTCACACGTTTAAAAAAAAAAATTAAAAAAATACTAGCTTCTATTACTGTTCTATGCTACATAATGAATTATAATAAAAAAACTTATAATACTAAAAACCTTTCTATTATCAAAGCTTTAGATATTGTGAGATCCTGAAGTTTAAATTCTTCTTTGAATATTATTGTAGTTAGGTTTTATCCCTATGATTTGGATCAAGAGTTAAGCCTGTCTGAATTTGAAAATGAAAATATAGTACTTGCTACTAGAAATTTTCACATTATTGAAGATATTAATAAAAATAGCAAAAAATATCCTGTTTTAAAAGTAAATTAAATCTATTATTATAAAGAATAGATAAATAAATAATAAAAGTCATATTTTTTTTTTTTTTTTTATACTAATGAAAAAAAAATTTTGAAGATTATTTTAAATGATATTATTTATTTTGATAGTTTGACTCTAATGATATACTTGTATTTCCAATATTAATTAATATAACAGCATTAGTTCAAGAAGATTCAAAAATTGAAAAAGATAATGTAACTATAAATATATTAACTAAAAATTTCATTGACTAAGACATTGCCAATATTGAAATAACATACTATCATCTTACATCTATACAATGTTTAATGAATATAATTACTGTAATAAAAAAGTATTCAGTACTTTATCTTAATAGAGAACTCATCATAACTGATAATACCAATATCATTTATTTATAAAGTATTTTATTTCTAGAGTATCAAAAGCTATCAGCAATCATGCAAAATTGTCTAATATAAAACAATTCAATACTACTTTCATAGAAATTAAATAATTAAGATAAAACAAATTCACCAAATACTATTGCTCAAACTATAGCTACAAGAGTTAAGAGAAATATTTAATACAAAAAAACTGCTTTTACTTCCAAATATTATCCTAAAACTAAACCTAGTTTAAAGTTAACTAACTTAGCTAATAACATTCTGAATAAACATTCAAATTCAAATACATCTGGTCAAACAACTTCTG